ACCGAACACACCAAAAGAAAGAGTAGACTCTCTTCTTTCATCAGGAACAAAAAATGTGTTTCTACCTTATTCCGTTCTTCCTGGACTTGCGTCTCACCGGCGACATGTTCTCTCATATCGAACCGTTACCTTTTTCTTATTTTCCTACAGTCTATGCTCATCTCCCATCAAAAGTGGCACTACCCCTTAGAGGGTCAATTTGTTACTACATACTCTGTCTAGAAGCCCGATATTTACGGACAAGCTTTAGCAGATCATCCCCCAAGCCACTCTCGTTGAAAAACATAAAAGACGTCTATAGACGTCTTTGGCATTCAACGGTTGTATTTGAATTGACGTCTATTGACGTCTTTGGCAGCCAATGAGTTAAGTACACTAGCTTGACAGGAAAGGGGGCAGATACAGAGAGGGGTAGACCTGCTGTAACCATTAGGCTACGCTGTGGCCCAATTGCAGGGAGTTTTGAATATTGTGCCATGACCATGGTGCTGCATAGAAAAAAGATGTTTTGCCAAGATCTGTGTTTGATCTTTGTTGATCCTGGGAATGGTGTAAAGAACACGACCTGAAGAGTGTGAGTTGTAACCACTGTTAGCTACAGACATGAAGTGACACAGGTTTTGAGGGAGGATGGGAGGGTCCTCTGAGGGAGTCGGTTCTCCGTTCATGTCTGTTTGTGTCAGCTGGGGTCGTTGCTCCGGGGTCGGACCGGCAGGCCGTGAGGGTCCGGCCGGGCGGGGACGCCACGCTGCTGTGCTCAAACTTCTCCAGCAGGCCGACCCAGATCGTGTGGTTCTGGGTGGGCAGGGCCCGGCCCGTCTGCCTGGCCTTCCTGTTCAGCGCCTCCTCGCCCGCCTCAGGCTGTGGCCTCACAGACCAGCGCCTGGACATGAGCTCCAACGGCTCCACCCTCTTCCTGAGGATCAGACGGGCCCGGGAGTCAGACTCCAGGCTCCACTTCTGCGGGCATTATCTGAGCGAATCCCCGGTGATTCGCAGCGCAACGTACTTGGAGGTTGAAGGTAGGACTCACTCGTTTATATGTTTAAAGGGGACATATTATGCAAAACCAAGTTTTTAATCATTTGATTATGTACATTTGGGACTGTGGAGGGCCTATCAGCAGGCAAAGTGTGAAAAAATGTTTGTGGGCTGCCCCAGTCTGAATCCAGGAGATAAATCAGGAGGTTTCAGGAGTGGGTAGTTTCTGACGTCATTAGCTCTAGCTCATTATAATATTCCAGCCTTTCACCTGCATGTTGCCCCCCCCCTCAGCTTACTCCCCTATCTGTGGCAGACGTCGGGGTAGCGTGAGCGTTAGCATGGTAGCGTTAGCGTTATCATGATAGCTAACGTAGTTATTGTTTGACAATGTGTGCGAGATGAACATGAAACTTGTATTGTGAGGTTAATTTAAGCCAGCTGCTGCAGACTTCTCCATATTTTTTCCCTGCTGTGATGTTTTATAGAGATTTACACAAAGTTTATGCCGTTAATTACCGGTAAGCCCTCTCCCCCTACAGCCACCATTGGCTTTGTGTAGGGTGGGACTTGAAGTTACTGTTGTGAGTTTCATGGTTTAAGCCACAACTAGCTTGATTTTTGTCTGTATTTTGGTAAACCTGCATGCTCACATGCAACGTGGGCACACCTCCCGGAAAAAGTGTGTGGATTGCCTGTGTTCTCATTTGCATTTAAAGAGACAGGCACTCCAAAGCGAGCGCTCTGACCGGGGCTGTTTTGGGTTAGGGTTAGGGTTAGGGTTAGGCAGGGGGATTGAACTGCTATTGGGCTTCATCCTTATGGGATTTTGACCAAAGCTTGTCACAGGCATTACATTAGGACACCAGGGAACTAGCTTAACTTGTTGAAATAGGGTATAATATGTCTCCTTTAAATGGAGGCCTTTAGTCAGGACAGCTCCACCTGTGTTGCAGCGGAAAACCCCCCGCTGAGGAGGCCCATGTGTGGACTTCTGGGTGGCCTCAGCCTTCTCCTCGCCATGGTCATCGCCAGTCTGGTCTTTAAAATGAATAAGCTGCGAACAGGTAGTCTGAGATCTCGCCTCTGTGATGGTGGGCTGGTTCTGACGTCTGTCTTTTTTATCCACGCAGAGCTGAACGCGCAAAGGGCAAAGGTGACACCTCGAGAAATGGCTCTCACATCCCCTCCTCTCAAATCCACCCGGGTGGTAACTGAGCGATCCTCTTTTCAGGGCTCTCAGTCGGAGGATGTGACCTACTCTGCACTGCATATTTTTGATTAATTTAATACTTTTACTTTTACATTCACAGTCTGAATTGTTACTCGTTACTGATATGTAAACGTAATGAGCCAGAGCTGTAGATAGCTCTGTCAGGGTTTGGGAAGCTGGCTCCTCATTGGCTGATTTAAGCCATCAAGCATAGCCTATTAAAAAAATGCCTCCCGAAAGATGGCGAAATTGTGTGTGACCTACTGGGGGAATTCCCAGTAGCTGGTTAGGAGAATAACCTGGTTAGGTTGACCAGGAGGCCGTGGTTAGCCTGTTGGTGGAAGAGCTTGAGGCCTCATGTTGATGCTTCTGGGCTGTTCCATCATAAGGTTTACCACCAGGCTTAACTTAAGATGCTTTATTTGTGTTTTGTTTTCTGTTTTTTGTAAACACCTGTATTGTCACGGAGGATGGGTCTTAGGGGAGGACTCAGTAGCGGAGATTGGTGAAAAGGGTTTATTTGAACAAAAACGCACTCAAAAGAGTGGATGGCAGACATGGTTAAAAAACAAGGCTGTGACAAAACTATGAACAAAGTATCAAATCAAGATTAAACATGACTGTGAACACAAAGTATCAAATAAGGTAAACAAGGCTATGGCAAAGTATCAAATCAAGATTAACAAAACTGTGGCAAGGCTGTGACAAAAACATGGCTATGGAAATAAAGTAAACAAGACTATGGCAGGGCTGTGACAAAAATCAAACCTGACGTGGCGAAGGGTGACGAAAAGCTCACAATGACGAAAACACACTGGCACATGGACATGGGAAACGAGGACTATTTAAACACATGAGGGAGGGGAACCCCAGGTGTACACAATATGTAATCAAGACATGACGAGACATCAGACATTCCCCCAACGTGACATATATGGCCTTTCACATGTTTGAAATAATATAAACAATGTCTATCAAACTTTTAACTGCCTTTTTTAAATAAACACGGTACTTGTACTTTTACTTATACTTGTACTTTCGATACTTGAGTAACAATTTTGTAAATAATTCTACTTGCAATACTTAAGTACAGAAAAAATGTAGTACTTCTGTACTTCCACTTAAGTATGGTGTTGAAAGAATACTTCTACTTTTACTCAAGTCCATTTTTTATATATTATTTGTACTTCTACTCCTCTCCTCTACTCCAGTACTTTCTCTCTGGATTTTAGGCTTGTGGTGAGGAGTCTTTAGGCCTGCTGTCCACCTCCAGGAGCCCTCCAGCTGGACTTCTGGTTCCTGCTGTACTGGTCATCGTTCACCCTGATTGTAGCACCTTCTCAGATATGTCCTGTATTTTTTCACCTCATTAATAAACCTTTGAAACCCCACATCTGGATGTCTACTTAACTTCACAAATCTTACAATAAATAACAAGTCTGACTTTGAGCTGTGATGCTCAAAAAAGAAACTATCAAAAACAAAAACATGTCAAAGCAATCTGGGCGAGGAGTCATGCAAAAAACATTCAGTGATTTAGAGGTTTGATAAGAATTTCAGTTTAATTAGATATTTGTCTGAAAGAGTCAGGAAGTAAAAGCAACTAAAGTTCAGACGTCAAACTGTGCAGAGTAGAAAGGTGAAGCTGGACAACATGAACACGGGAACTGATGCACAATCCACCACAACGACAGAATTTTGTGGTTTAAAAGTAGAAAACAGAAGAAAAACATCAAGTTGAACGAGGCCGTCTCTGAAGAGCTGATCAGACTTTACAGCTTTACTGTCAAACCGACCTTTGACCCCTGGGCTCCGCTTCTTGGGTGGAGGATTCCTCTTTTTGATCAACCTGAAAAAAATCACAGTGAACAGAGAGGTGATAAAACAATTGAGTTAAAAACCAAAAAAAGCATCCAAAACTGGCTTTAGATGTTAAATTATCCTGAGAGTTAAGTCTAATATAAAGAAACATCCTGCAGTTTAAGATAAACTACATGATAATGTGGAGGAGTTTGAGTGTTTTGGGTCCTAAGCCTGTGTTATTGGGGGGTCATAATGTGCATTTTCACCTATTTCCCATAAAGTAGACTAAAACAAAAGTGTAGATTATCATCATAATGGAAAATCTACCCATTACAGCTGTAATTTCATCAGATCCAAACAGATGGAACACAAATGTAGTCATTAAGTCATTGATTCAGGCGTCGGAACCGCTGACTCGTCGTTTTGTCATGTGACAAAACTGAGCTTTACCTGTGGTCCACCTTGGATTCTGATTGTGGTGTTTTCCTCTCTGTTTTCCTGTTCACAGAAAACATGTAAATAAAAACATTCCGCTTCAGTCTAATCTGTACAGATCAGCCCCGGTGAGTTTTTTGCTTTGTGGACTCACTCCTCTAGTTCTGACCTTTGGGCTCCATCATGTGTGGGACATTAGCATAAACAGCCTCCTGCTCACCTGAAACACAAGAATCAGAGACTTTAATGTCATTTATGCAGAGAGAACTTCCAGCAGCTCTGTGTTAGAGTCATAGTTGATACTCTACCGGCTCCGGAGGTTTCCCAGTCACTGAGGTTTTCATAGACACAGAGTTCTCCTGCAGGGCAGAGAAGACACAGCTCAGTGGAACCAGGCTCCTGACACATTTCCACATTTCCACATGCTTTCAGGGGTTAAAGTCCTGGTTCGACACTGAGAACCAGCATTAAAGCTGCAGCACAGAGAATGAGTCCACTCTGAGAAAGGCCTTTGCTCTTTTCACTGCTTCTGTTGGGGGTCCCCACAGCAGACCTTCTGCCCCCCCCCCCCCCCCCCCCCCCTCCTCTGCTGCTCTGCCTGGCAGCTCCAGTCTGCAGCATCATTGCTCAAACATGTTCCCTTTCCCTTATCTGCTGACGGCCCGCCCACCTCGGCCTCGGCCTTTACACCTTGCATCGCTCCCACCTTCCAGATCTTCCCTTTCCATCCTGCCTTAGCTTGGTCCCAGAGCCGTTTCCCTACACTCCGCCCTAACGTTTGCCGTCTTGCTTTTGCTTGGCTTTCATTCCACCTTTCAGGCTCTTTCCTGTTTCCTACTCTAACCACTACAGATCTGTGAAGTCCACATCAATCTCCAGTTTGTGGAGCCTCCAGACTGCACACTTCAGCTTCCCACTTTCCTCACTCCTGACCGGGACCACCACCACACGCTTCCTCCTGACGGCTCACAATTCTGCTCTCTGAGGCTCTGGAGATCAGCCTTGTTCTCAGCAAACGATGAGGTGGACGGAGATGTTGAAAACAGGTGAGAAAACACTGAGAAGCAGCTGGAAAACTGACCGTGGAGCTGAGAGGAGTGGACCTGTTGCTGGTTTCCATCCTGGTTCTCCGTCTGCTCCGCAGCAGAAGCTTTAACCACAGACAAAAACAGGTTTGCTTTGTGCTGCTGTTCCAGTCTGCGTCCTCAGGAGGCCTCCATGTTCTTTAGTAAACAAAAAGCTCTCACCCTCAGACCGTCTGCAGCGACACAGAAAGAGCAGCAGAACCAGAAAAAAGACTCCAACAACAACGGCTCCAACGACCATCAGAACAGGAAAGGAGGAGCTCTCAGCTCTGGAAACACCTCCTGTACACAACAGATGAGCAGACTCATCCACAGGAAGGTTTCATCCTCCAGCTGTGAAGGAGCCCTGCTGACCTTTGACTGAGACCCAGCTCTGTGTTGAACTCTTCCCTGATGCTTCACACCAGTAGAAACCTTCATCTGACTGGGACACAGCAGAGATGTTCAGCTCCGCTCTGCTGCCATTCTGCACCAGTTTGGCATCGTGGTAGAAATCCACATTGGAAAGTGGGGCTCTTCTTCTCTGTCTGCAGCTCAGACTGACAGAAGCTCCCTCAGTAACAGGATGAACGGGGCTCTCCAGGATTACACCATCATCATAATTAGCTGTAAAACAATCAGAGACATCAGGTTTTGTAGTGGATTAATATCTCACACTGAATGTATTCTCATCGCAATGATTAATAGTGTGCCTTAACATATATCAAGGAAAATAATTTTATAAAAAAATAATGTGTGGCAGTGGAAAAAACCATGGTCCAGAGGTCAAACTATACTAAATGTACCATATGGGGTAACCTAAGGGGCAATACAAACAAAACGTGTATCTCCCTAGAAACCATGGGTAGGTACTAGAGAATGGGCGGAATGGGTAATGACGTGGAATGGGCAATGACGTGTAAACAGGAAGGAGGGGCCGAGACGCCCATTTAAAAAATATGAACTCTAGGTGAACTTCCACCGGTAGAAACCAGAATAACAGATATAATGGAGGAAAAGTACCTGAAAATATGTCATAATAGGAGGGGCCCGGGGGAGGGGCCACCGGTCCCCAAGGGACTGTATAAAAGCAGGCCACGTTCTCAATAGGGTAGATTTTAGCCTGGTTAACATCTCATGTGTGGTGAACTTGTATTGCTACAATAAACCACACTGGACCGAGACCCAGCTGCCTCTGCTTCTTTGTGACCACTGTTGAAGATTTTTCAACTGCATTTCCAAGAACTTAGAACATTTTGAAAGACTTAGCCCAAATTCACTACGTCGTCGGGAGGACATCCACGACAGTTTCCTGTGGGCAGTGAGCTGGAAGAATGTGTTTCTGTCTACGTGATGACACACAGCTACAGGAATGGTAGAGTAGATGGTAGACAGAAGAACACTGATCAGAACAGACCTTGTACAGAGATGTTGACGGCGTTGCTGAACTCTCCTGATTCAGACTCACACCAGAACACTCCGTCACCACTGGAGGAAAGCTGTTTCTCACATCTGGATCCAGTCATTGTTCCCCAGTAGAAGTCAGAGCAGTGTAACAGGAGTCTTGTTCCTGTGAACCTCTTCACTCTCCAGGAGGTCGAGTTTCCTCCACAGATTAATGAGACAGAGTCACGTCTGAAGTGTTGAACTCTGTTTGGACTCACTGTGAGAGACGCTGCTGGATGAAGATCTGAAAAACAAAACATTTGGTTCATTTGGTTCTTTAGCTGTGTAGAACTTCTGCTCTGAGAGGACAGAAACCAACTGACCTGCAGACCAGACGAACTGTGGCTGACTGTAATGGCTGTGATACTCTGGCTCTCCTCTCCCAGCTCTGCACACATATCCTGCTGTGTGTGTCTGTCCATGGAGGATGTAGGAACCCTGTTTGGCCCCAGTGGTGCTAACAGGCAGCAGCTCATATCTGTAAGACTCTGCTGACCGATCAGGAACTGCTTTGTACCAGGAGAAGCTCCATCCTGCATCCTGATGCTGAAGCTGACAGCTCATAGTTACTGAGGCTCCAGGACTCAGCCATGATGGAGACACAGAGAGGACAGGCCGGGGCTGTTCTGCAGGAGGGAAAATGTTCCCACATTGAAAACATGCACTGCATCCACTCTTATACTTACAACACTTACTAAACAACAGTTAAAGTTCAATTTGTTTGCTTTTTACATGGTTCAAAATCCACTTTAGACATGTGAACGTCTTCATCCTTAAAGAACAAAAAGTCTCAAGTGGACTCAAATCAGACCATCAGTCAAACTGATGCTGCTTTTTTCTTTTTTTCTCAAACATTTGAAGCTAAAGACTTTTTGTTTTGTGGACTTGGAGAAGGCGTTCGACTGCGTCCCTCGGGGTATCCTGTGGGCCAGGGCTGGGCAACTCCGGGCCTCGAGGGCCGCTGTCCTGCAGGTTTTAGAGGTTTCTCAGCTTCTGCACACCTGATTCAGATAAAACTGATCTCTTCTAAAGGTGCTTCAGCTCTGAACAGGACTGCTGATGTTGTGTTGATGCGAATCAGGTGTGTAGAAGCAGGGAAACCTGGAAAACCTGCAGGACAGTGGCCCTTGAGGCCCGGAGTTGCCCACCCCTGCTGTGGGGGGTAATCCGGGAGTATGGGGTACCGGGCCCTTTGTTACGGGCTGTTCGGTCCCTGTACGACTGGAGTCAGAGCCGGTAGTAAGTCGGATCCGTTTCGGGTGGGAGTTGGACTCCACCAAGGTTGCCCTATGTCTCCAGTTCTCTTCATAACTTTTATGGACAGGATTTCTAGGCGCAGCCGAGGTGTTGAGGGTATCAGTCTTGGTGGCCTTAGGATCGCATCCCTGCTTTTTGCAGATGATGTGGTCCTGTTGGTTTCGAGATCGATAGGTGGTGCAGCGCTGTACCGGTCTGTCCTGATGAAGCTGAGCTTGAAGGCGAAGCTTTCGATTTATCCGTCAATCTACGTTCCCACCCTCGTCTATGGCCACGAACTTTGGGTAGTGACCGAAAGAACGAGATCCCGGATAGAAGCGGCCGAAATGAGTTTCCTCCGCAGGGTTCTCTCTTAGAGATGGAAGGAGCTCGGCCATCTGGGAGGGGCTCAGAGTAGAGCCGCGTGGAGAGGAGCCAGCTGAGGTGGCTCGGGCATCTGATCAGGATGCCTCCTGGTGAGGTGTTCCGGAATATGTCCCACCTCGACAAAGCCTTGAGGAAGACCCAGGACCCGGGAGGAGGTCCAGAGGGAGACCCAGGACCCGCTGGAGGGACTATGTGTCCCGGCTGGCCTGGGAACGCCTCGGGATCCCCCCGGAGGAGCTGGCGGAAGTGGAGGGGGAGAAGGAAGTCTGGGTTTCCCTGCTGGATGGATGGATGGATGGATGGATGGATGGATGGATGGATGGATGG